CAAGTTGGCATTATAAGAAGGAGAGAGGCCCTGAATTCCGTCACTTTCAGAAGCACCTTATGCACCAGCAGAAATGGGGGAGCGCATAAAGCAGGCCCTTAGGCCAGACAGGTGAGTGTCTCCTAAGAACCCATGACACATCCCCATGAGGGAGAAAAATCTGGGGTACTTCTTGATCTGCTGTTTTGCAAAGAGGTACAGGAGTTGGCATTATAAGAAGGAGAGAGGCCCTGAATTCCGTCACTTTCAGAAGCACCTTATGCACCAGCAGAAATGGGGGAGCGCATAAAGCAGGCCCTTAGGCCAGACAGGTGAGTGTCTCCTAAGAACCCATGACACATCCCCATGAGGGAGAAAAATCTGGGGTACTTCTTGATCTGCTGTTTTGCAAAGAGGTACAGGAGGGAAAATCCCCACCTGTGGAAGATGTGGAGGCCATTCCCATAAAATGCCATTCATGGCAGGAGAAGGACCGGCTCAGCTGGTCTGCCAGAGTGTTCTGGACCCCAAGAAGATAGGCTGTTATATTCACTGGGTGAATATCTGTCCCTATGCAGACTTCCCAGAGCCAGAGGGCTTCCTGGCACAGGGGAGGGGAGCACACTCCACCCTGCCTGTTGATACAGGCAACCACCATCATATTGCTGGACAGGATGAGAATTGTCCAGCCCCTGAGAAGAAGGAAGGCTGGCACACAAGGTGGACAGCCCGCAGTGCATGGATGCTGAAATGCAGGGAACATTCCTCCCATGACCACATATCTTGCTTCCTTATGTTGACAATGTGGGCTGCCCAACCAATGTCAGAAACGTCCGTCACAAGCCTCAGGTTTGGACGGGCCTGGAGAACGGGACTCCAGCATGAACCATCTCCTCCTGGGTCCACGAGTCTAGGGACTGAAGAACGCCTGGAGGCACTGTCACCACTCTGTCCCAGGAGTGAATGGAGGGGTTGGGAACCTGCACCAGCCACAGCTGCAGGGGGTGCATACGAAGTCTGGCATTATGAATCACATATGTACAGGTGGCCATGAGCCCCAGGAGGCACATGCAGTTTCTGACCATGGTCATAAGGGAATGCCCTTAAGGATAGCTTCCTTGATAGCCAGGAAATGGGATCTGGGTAGGGAGGCCATGGCCGATATGGAGTCCAGACAACTCTATGTCCTGAGTGGAGACCATGGTAGACTTGGCCACATTCAGGAGGAGACCCAGCTCCGAGAAAAGGGCCTGCATCAAAGCAATGTGCACTAGTACCTGGTCTGAGGATGAAGCCTGCACCAGCCAGTCATCGAGATAGGGGAATATTTGGACCCCTTGTTTTTTTTTTTTTTTAGAGAGGCAGCTACTATGGCTATTTCATAAATACTCGCAGGGACTGTAAATTGGTAATGGTCTGGGCTAACTGTAAAATACAAGAATCTTCTGTGATCGGAAGTGATTGAAATGTGGAAATAAGCGTCCTTTAGATCGAGGGCAGTGTACCAGTCTACGAAGACTGGCACTAGGAAGTACCTTGAGTAGAATCCTTTTTCCCTGAACTTCTGAGGGACCGCTTTGGCAGCTCCCAGCCTTAGCAGCTGTTGCACCTCCTCCCTGAGGAGATGCTCATGAGAGGGGTCCTTCAAGAGGGATGGAGTGGAAGGGGAAAGTGGGAGGAAGGGGATGGTGTATCCCTTCCCTACTGTTTCTAGGACCCACTGTAGTGGAAATGCAGAAGACGATTGTGAGCTCGAAGAAATTAGGTGGTGTACCACAGTCATTCCTTTTATGCCTGCATCTCCTGTCAGGCCTGGATGCTCTAGGCAGCCATTTGTGCTGCTTGCTTCTTACTATTCTTTTGTTATTCTCAAAGAGTTAGCTGTTTGCTCAGTGTAGGAATGCACTGTTGACTTTAAACAAGTTCTGGGACAGGTCCCAAGGCTATGCACCTGGTATGGGAGTGCAGGAGGGCTTGGGAAGATCACATAGCTATCTTTTGCTGAATGTTTCCCATCTGATAATGCTAATTATTTGGCCTGGTAAATATGCAAAGTATCAACAAGCTAATTATTGGATGTGGGAAAATATGGAATGTATCAACGATTTTGTTAGGTTCTCAAAACAACAGGGATGATTACTGTAGATCCAACAATATATAAGTGCCAGGGATATTCCTAATATTAGAACCTCGGCATAGACCGAAGCTGCAGGAGTATCAATGCAATGGTGCTACGTAATGGCCACTGGGGTCCGTCTGCTGTCCTCCTTCAGGGGGTTCCCGACAGCAGAAGGGACGTATGCATTGCATTTTATTCTGAGATCTGCTTAGGCTTAAGTACTGTATTTTATTCTAAGATTTGCTTCATTGTACTTTACTCCAATATTGAGTATTGTTCTTTACCTTAATATTTGCTTAGTAAAATCCTTAAGCCTTCACCCAATTTGTGCACTTATTGCCTCCGAATCCCTTAAGGGAAGAACCATTGCCTCTTGGCAATACACCCACCTGTCAGAGGTGATAGATTCCCATGCCCGGTAGAAAGGGAATAGGTGATGTAAAAATGGGAGAGGTGAGGCTGGTATGCTGTTCCTGGGTGCCTCTTCAAAACCCTTGGCGTTGGCCCTAGGAATTGTTAGAGGGGCCCGCACCTTGCTTTGATGGGTCCTGGTGAGAACTTGAGTCCATCGAGAGCATAGATAATAGCACCCCTCCGAGGGCCTCATCAGGGGATGAGGAAGTCGACCTCCTGAGACCCACCTTCTCTGCATCCTGGGATTTGCGAAGGGGCCTGGGAGGCTGCTGAGGATACTAGCATGGGGAGCTGTGATGAAGATGGCCCCCTCTCCACGGAGGGTCTGGTCAAAGCCTGCCTCAGGGGTAGCATCTGACCCAATGTAGAGGAGCAGCTCAGTGGGATTGCCAATGGACAGGTCTGGGCCCAGAGATGATGGACTCCATTCTAGAGGGACCCATGCTCTGGCTCTGGTGATATGCCCAGGGGGGTCAGAAGGGCCATTGTCCAGGAGCCTGCCACTAGGGTGGCCAGGACTGCTGCCCCAGCTGCATTGTGGTTGGTTGTGGGGCCCAGGACTGTTGCAAGTGCCTAGGCTTCAGTGCTTCGGTGCCTATGTGCTTCGGTGCCAGGAGTAGGACCTGTGCCTCAGTCTCAATCTGGAGCCCCATGACGACACAGATGACTCCACCTTCAAGTCGGGTGAATATTTGGAGGTTGACCAGGGTGGTGCCATAGCTGTTGCAACCGGCGACCTATGCCTGGGGCATTCCAGGCCATAGATTCTCGCTTTCCTCCGTGCCGAGGGAGAGGTGGTGGCGGCATCGAGGCAATACTGCTGGGCCGCTTGTCACCAAGGACAAAGCAGACAAACTCGGTGCCGCGTGTGTGTTCTGGCTCGAAGACGGCGACGGTGGTACCGCTATGGCTGATGCCAGCATCGATGTCGATGGCACTGGGACAGTGCAGTGGTGGGCCCTCATAGGTTGCAGCCCGGTGGTGCCTCGCTTGACACTTCCTGATGGGGACCGGTGGAGAGATCGGGGACGTGATCAGTTTGATAAGGTCCCTCACAGCCTCAAAGGTGTCAAGGGCTCCAGGAAGTCTGACGCGGGCTGGAATGGTGCCCACCCAACCTCCATCGTCTGGCTGCTGATCCTGCTGGTGCCATGTGTTCTGCCTGAGGGCGCACTGACACACGTGTCTCGATGGAGACTTGCCCCGGCTAGGTCTCTGTTTCTTCTGAGGCATTGGAGACTGGGACTGGTGCCGATGCCTTTGCAGTACTAGAGAGGTGCTTGAGTGGCTGAGTGCCTCCCACACCAAAGCTGGTGCACTGTGGGTTGTCAGTGCTGGGTCCGATGCTGGTGCTGGGCAGAGAGCCACTTCCATGAGTATGATCTTCAAGTGGGACTCTCTTTTTTGCTTGGTCCACGGCTTGAAACCCATACAAATTTTGCAGGCCTCTGACAGATGCGCTTCTCCGTGGGGGTCTCCATAGGGCATAGGCTTCTGGCACTTAACGCAGAGCTTGAAGCCTTGCTACTTAAACTATTTACAACTGTGATAAGAGCTTTCTTGTTCTTCGTTAACTAACAGAACTACAAATGGGTGAGACCTGCTAGGAGCACTTGCAAAGCAAGAGCAGAGCAGGTTCCAACAACCATCATGAGCAGAAAGTAAGAGTGGGTGGAAGTCCAGCAGGGGCATATATTAGCCGATATAGTGGCACCACTCCAGGGGGCTCCCCTGCTGGCCCAATGAGTACTGCTAAGGGAAAATACTTCCGACAACACGTGCACGCAGCACAAACACACCTACATGGAATGGACATGAGCAATCATTGGAAGAAGAAACTGCAGTTGTCTTTTATATTACACTTCTGAAATTATGCTGCCTGATCTTTATAGTATGAATACCACAGGGCTGTATTATAAGAAATACCCAAAGAAATCCTCCAGTGTTTATCTTGATGATTAAAATGACCCAAATTGTTAACAAACTCGATATTAACTTCTCAAACAGAAGCAAAAAATTACTGCATAGTAGGATATAAAGCTAGCCTTTAGCCTGTTTTAAAGTAAAAAATGAAATTTTACTTCCTTTACAAAGGAACTCAGTCAGTAAAAGTAGGTTGACATGTTTTAACCAAGCAATTCTTTATTCGTGTTCAGACAGGATTGATTCTCTAGAATACAGTTACTTATGAAGAACTGCTTTAGTAAATGTTGTCTTGTTGCTTATATCAATTTTTCCAATATCAGTTCTCCACTTACATTGTCACTTAGTGGTTGTGTATTTCCATATCCTTCAGGACATCCATACCCTGAATTTCTTCTTGTCTCTCCTGTTGAATGAACACATGAAACCCAATGATGTTGTTCTGCTAACCTAGTGCTTTTCCATTCGTATCTAGAACACTTCGTGTGATTAACACAACTCAGAGTGCAATCCAGCATTCCTCACATCCTCAATCATGTCCATCAAGTGTAATCAAGTCCATCAAATCAGCATAATGCCTAATTCATAAAAAGCTGCTATAGAAAATATAGACATAATGCAACTACTGAGAATAACTAACCTTAATACTTACCCTCTGAAACATCTGTTGTGACAAAAACCTTGAAGTTACTTTGGTGATGCTTTTTTTCCCTCCTAATTTACAGTGGATGTATCCATATAAATTAGCAGTTTGAAGAGAGATTCCAGCTATCACGAGAGCCTGCAGAAGTTAGCCCAATAAAAGATATTAACTCACCCAACTTGTCTCTCCAAGAGGGTTACAAATGAAAAGCATACTATGGACAAAATGACAGTGTTTAATGTAAGCAATAACGAGGAATTTGCCATCAAATAATAAATTAAAACTTGCATTTTATGAAGCGTAAATAACCAGTTACACCCCTCCTTACTTACTGACAGATTAGCCTCAGCGGAGAGAGACTCACTTTATATTTTAAGGGTGGAAATAATTATTTTTCTAGCTTTGGTCTCTCTCCTTCCAGGTTGGGCCATTTTTTCAGTGCTTTTTACCTAATTGTAATGCATCAGTCTAACTCAAAAGAATCTCTTTAAATCTACACAACAGTATTTGGTAAACATTTCTAATAGTACAGTTTCAGCAGCTTTCTGAATCATAGAAATGTAGGGTTGCTGGAAGGACCTTTATCAAGGCCAGCACTCTGTGCTGACACAGACCCAATTATATTTAGACAATCCTTATATTTAAAAACGTTCATTGATGGGAATTCTGCAATCTCCCTTGGAAACCTTGTCCAGAGCTTAACTATATCACTGTCAAAGCATTTCCTAATACAGGCAGTCCCCGAGTTAGGCGGATCCGACTTATGCAGACCAGGGGGACGGGGAGCAAAGCAGAGCAAAGCCGCTGAGTCCGAGGGCAGCAGGACAGCCACGGCGCGTCTGGGCTGTCCCGCTGCCCCCAGGCTCCGCGGCTTTGCTCCAGACGCCTGTGGTACAGCAGCTGGGGTGCTGCTGGTTGGTCCTGTAGCGCCGCTCTGGGCGCTACTGGACCAACCAGGCAGCACCCCAGCTGCTCTGCCCCAGGACTGCTGAACTGAAAGTTACCCATTTCCCTCCTGCCTTCCCACCCTGGCGGTGTCTGGCTCCCTGGGCACAGAAGGCTATAGCTCAGTGGGCAGAGGCTCTGACATGCACATCTCCCCCAGTACCTGGGACTGTGGAGTTACCTTTGAGGTTCTACAGGGTTAGGGGAGGGCAAAATGCAGCAAACTTCAGCCGCTGTTGAAACTGATCAGTTTCAGCAGCGGCTGAATCTGGACGCCAGTTCCGACTTACATACAGATTCAACTTAAGAACAAACCTACAGTCCCTATCTTGTACGTAACCCGGGGACTGCCTGTATCTAATCTAAATTTCCCTTGCTGCAGCTTGAGCCCATTATTTCTTGTCTTACCTTCAGCAGACATAGAGAACAATTGGTCACTGTCCTCTTTAAAATAGCATTAAAACATATCTAAAGACTTAACAAGTTCCCCCTTTGTTGTCTTCTCTCAAGACTTAAGTACACCCAGATTGTTTTAATTTATCCAAAGGTCAAGGGTTTTCTAAACAATTTAAAAAAGTTACATGATTGATTTTTTTCCATAATTCCTGTGGAGAAAGTGAGCTTATTTGGTGATTAAATGGTGATAGGTGTTATCTTTTTTACTCTGCTCTGGACTCTCTTCACTTTCTCCAATCCTTCTCCAAGTGTAGCACTCAGTACTGGGCACAGTACTCCACGTGAGGCCTCATCAGTGGCAAGCAGAGTGGGGTAATTGCTTCCTGTGTCTTATACATGACTGTTAATGCACTGCAGAATATTAATCTTTTTTACAACTACATTGCGCTGTTAATTCATACTCAACAAGTGATTCTCTATAACACCTAGATCTATCTCAGCAGTAATACCACCTAGCCAGTTATTCCCATTTTGTAACTATGAATTTGATTTCTTCCATCCTAAGTAAAGCACTTTGCACTTCCCATATAGTTTTGTACACTGAACTTAAGAAAATTAATATTATTGGTAGTACTCTCTTCCAAAGAAAGTATTCAGATGTTTTCTAAAAAAATAGTATCTTTGTTTTTGAACCACTAACTGTCATTGAATTTTAAAAGGCCTCAGTTCAAACATATACTGTCACAGGTGTAGGAACTAGAAGAGGGTGGGGGTGCTGCAGCACCCTCCAGGTTTTAATTGGGATTTTATCTGCTAGCCCCCCATGCCTGCCTCCAACTTGGGAGGGGAAAAAGGCAAGAGAAAGGGGACTGGCTTTCAGCTATTTGAATACTGCTGCCCCACTGTATGCTATACACCAGTGTTTCTTAAACTGTGTTCCGCAGCACACCAGTGTGCCATGAGGCAGTCAGAGATGTGCTTTGGAGAAAAACAGAGCTTAAAATGGCCGTCTTAAAGGGGCAGGCGAGTTTTTTCAACTTTCCCCATGAGTTTTTTGGGGTTTTTTTGCTCATTAACTCCCCTCGACCCTTATTTTTTCTCAACAAAAAATCCTTGGTGTTCCTCATAAAACAATTGTTTGGTGTTCCATGGTCTTAAAAAGTTTAAGAAACACTGCTATACACCGAGTAATTTCAGTATCTTAATTAATATTCATTGTTACATATATGAATCCTGCTATATCACTTGTCACGTTATAACCCTGGAAAAGCCAGTATAATGATACAATCAGCACCTGCTGATTTCCAGTAATGCCTGTCAAAATATTAAATAATGCAACCACTGACACACTGCAAGTCATGGAGACCAAGTGGCTGGGTGATGAAAGGATTAGAGGATTTTAGTAAAAATATTATCAAAGTCCCAAGAAGACATAGAAAAGTAAAACCCAGCTACAGATTCTAGTCTTCTGGGTAGGGTTCTCTGGTACTAGCAACTTTTTAGCTGTGCATATTGTATAGGACATGTGGAGTTCTCTGAAATGAAGCTTGCAGTGGTAGCTGCCAGGTGAAATATCTATTTGACTCGGAAGAGGGCTAATTGACCAGAACCTGTTGAGGATGGTGTCATAACCATGAGGGATGGCCAGCAGCCTGGGGACTAAAGGGTTAACTATGTCCCCTGTACCTAGCCAAGTACCAGTCAGCCAACAGAATTGCAGGTAGGGATTTCAAACTGAGACGCAGGAATTTTGGGGTTTTCCCTCCTTTGTCTCTGAGCCAGTTTTGCTCTCTAGATACTGAGGGAGACAGAAGATAAGTCTCTCTCCAAGAAAAAGACTCCTCATAATGTGTAAGTAGGGTAAAGTCTAGATAAATCCATCAGGTTTTATTGTTGTTCTGGTTTGGGAATTTGGATCTGATGTCTGTGCTGTTAGAAATGATTTTTACTTTCTTTTGTAACTAGTTTTTTTTTTTTTTAACTAACCTGGTATTGGTTCATTTCTGTGTCCTGGAAAATCTGTCAGTGGATATCTGCATACTTCTAACTACAGGACAGTGACCACAGACTGCAGCTTGTATTTTCTCTCTTCTTTTTCAAGCTCTTTAGGGATTTCTTTTTTAAGCTCTGAGGTTTTTAGGGAGGAGGTTTCCCAAGTTACCTCTTCCCTATTTTTTTTTTCTTGTGATACTTGGGTGGTGGCAATGGTTTTTATTTCCCAAAGTCCAGGTATTAGGATTTTGGGGGAAGCTTTTGTACCAAAGCCTGTAGAGATCAGGTTTTGGGGTTGCTTTTGTAGGCCCCCACTTCTGCATTCATTGTGCCAGAGTGGGGAACAGACTTGACAGATGGAGAGTAAAGATATATTAAGTCTGTGCCAGGCTTAGGGGTTAACTTCAGTTTGGGAACAGAAGCTTGCTCTACAACTTCTTGAAACTGTCATTGGAATCTTCTACTTAGATTAGTAAGACTCTAACTTCAAGCTACATTTTAATAGACTTGTTTTTCTGCACCCCATCATTGCATTTATCACCCACAGATCACATGCAGTTACCCTATGCTTACCAGCCATTTCAACTTTAAGGAAAACAAAGTGCTAAAAAAGAACACTGTCCAAATAACTGGACATATAATCAGTCCAAGCCAAAAGATTCGAGCTTCAGCTTCAGTTGAGGCAGCTATGCTTGTAGATACCTAGAAAGAAAAACATATGTTTTCATTACTTTAAAACCCTAACCGTGGTTAAGAACTGAGCTATTTATTTCACAGGTTATTTGTATGCACTGTCATGTGCTTGTTTCTGCTGAGTTTTATAGACTATCTGCTATAGCTACTTGAAATAAATTATTTCCTATTCCTGGCTTTATGCTTCCTTGGTATTCAGTCAATGCTGGAAGAATGATATACAGGTTCTAAATACAGCATTCATTTTATTTATATTGGGCATGACCAATTTGTCTGAACTAAGTTCAGGAAAGACCTTCTCCATCAAGCTGTGCAGGATCCAAACAAGAAGGGAGCTCTACCAGCTCCTGCTACTTCAGGAGGCCAGAAGAGAAGTCCTGAAATTGGCCCATTCAATACCATCAGCTGGCCATCTTGGCCAGGAGAAAACATTATCCCACTTACTGGCTCGATTTTTCTGGTCAGCAATCCATAAGGAGGCTGCTAATTTTTGTGCATCTTGTCCTAATTGTCAGTAAGTGGCACCAAAAGGTTCAGGGTGAGCTTCCCTGATACCCTTCCACATTTGTGGATACAGCCTTTGAAAGAATAGGGGTTGATATTGTGGGCCCCTTAAAGAAAAATGCCTGGGGCCACCAACACATACTGGTGATTGTGGACTATGCCACACATTATCCAGAAGTGGTCCTCTTGCACTCAATAACTGTGCGAACCGTAGTCACTGTGGTCCACCTTTTCTCTCGGGTAGGTCTACCTACTGAAATCCAGATGGACTAGGGGACAAATTTCATGTGGCGATTGTTGAGAGAGATTTGGACCCTTCTCAAGGTAAAGACCCTCTGAACATTGGTGTACAATCCCCAAACTTATCTACTCACTGTCTCTTTTTTTTCTTCCTCCCCTCCATTTTTTTCCCCTCCTTCCCTTATTTATTCTTGGATCTGGACTTCCAACACTCCTGTCCTCTGAAGAAGTGGGTTGTGCCCATGAAAGCTTATGATACCATCTACTTGTTTTGTTAGTCTTTAAGGTGCTAGTAGACTATTTGTTGTTTTTTAAGTTTTTCCTGTTACAGACTAACTCAGCTACTCCCTGAAGCTTTTAATCCGCAAACTGATGGCTTGGTAGAGAGGTTCAAATGAACCCTGAGGAAATTTGTAAATACTGACTCTCATAATTGGGACTAACTACTTCCCTACTTGATGTTTGTGGTGCAGGACGCACCTCAGGCCTCAATGGGGTTTTCTCCATTTGAGTTTATATATGGCCGGCAGCTTCAAGGAATACTGGAGGAAGAAATATGGGAAGAACAATCCTCCTAGACTCAAAACGTAACCCAGTACATGGTACAGATGTGGGAATGACTAGGCCAGGTTTGCCCAAGAAAATTTTAGAAAGAGCTCAACAAACCTAGGCTTGCCATTATAACAAGGGTTCCCTGAAAAAGCTCTGTCAACCTGGGGATCGTGTCTTGTTGCTGCGACCTAGCTCCAAAAATAAACTCTTGGACAAATGGCAAGGTCCCTATGAGGTTATATGACAAGTAGGTGAGGTGGACTATGAGATCCATTGTCCAGCTAAGAAAAAGAAAAAACAGATCTTCCATGTGAATTTACTAAAACCCTGGAGAGCACAAGAGGCCCTATTCATAGACCTCCAGGATGAGCCTGATGATTAGGCTCAGAGGTGAAACCCCAGCAGGCCCTGATGAAATAAATACCCATTGTAGAAATAACCATCATCCTGCTGAGGCATTTCAATGATCTTTTTTCCTCCTGACCCAGTTGGATTCATTTGATGGCACACCAAATCTGGACACAAGATTTATTGAGTTCCCAAAAAGCTCCAGGGGACCCTGGAGCAGGATGTTCAGACAATGTTAGAGTTGGGGGTTACTGAAGACTCCCAAAGCCCTTCATGCAATTCAGTTGTCTTAATACCTAAACCCAATGGCACAGTCCGATTCTGTGAGGACTTCAGGGCCCTGAATACAGCCTTGCAGTTCGATGCTTATCGCTTACCCTGCATGAATGAACTCTTACACTGGTTTGGAAAAGCATGGTACATAGGCCTTGGTTAAGTCCTGAGTGGTTATTAGCAAATACCGCTCTTGGACTATGTCTACACTGGCGGGTTATTGTGCAAGAACGGTGGTTCTTCCGGAAAGCGTCCACTCTGTCCACCCGCTCTTGCGCAAGAAGATTTACAGTACAGCGTGGTAAAGAGGACTTCTTGCACAAGAGCTACGCTCTATTTTAACAGGTGTAAGCCCTCGTGCGCAGGAGCTCTTGCACAAGAGGACAGAGTGGATACTCGGCGGCGGTTTCTTGTGCAAGAAAGCCATATGGCTAAAATGGCCATCGGAGCTTTCTTGCACAAGAGAGGGTGCACACTGCCATGGGCACTCTGACACAAAAGCACATATCACACATGGCAGCGTGGACATGTTCTTGCGCAAGACTTCTTGCACAAGATGTTCTTGCGCAAGAAGCCACCTGTGTAGACATAGCCTTTCAGTTTACAGCTATGCCCTTCGGACTACATGGGGTACTGGCCACCTTCCAGCACCTAATGGATCAGGTGGTGTTATATTGCGGGCAATTTTCTGCAGCCTATTTAGATGATGTGATAATCTGTAAAGACTGCAGGTTACATTTATCCTATATAGCATCCATTCCACAGGCACTGTTGAGAAACTGGGTTCACAGCAAACCCCAAGAAGTACAAGTTTGGCATGGAAGAGACCAGGTATTTGAGATATCTGGTGGGGAATGGGAAGACACAGACCCTACATGACAAAACTTAAGCCCCAGACAAAACCCCTATACCTCAAAGAAGCTGGTGTGGGTCTATTCCCCATTTTGCAACCCTGGGTTTATTCCCCATTTTGCAACCATTGACAGACCTAACCAAGATCTAAGCACCAAATGCGGTACTTTGGACCTCAGAAAGCCAAAAAATGTATCAAAGTATAAAAAACTTTTTGTAATGGCTAGAGAGCCCTATAAAACTGTAACCATAGTTTCCAACACAAGTTCTTGAATTTCAGTGCAGAACTGCCGTCAGTAACAGGAATAGACAAATTGTCAGGCTATCACATGAGGTTCTCTCCCCTAGGAAATAGAAACTAAATGTACAAGCAGTAAAATAATATAAATTTGTCATAAAGCCAGGTCCTATTGTTGCTGCCAAAGTCAGAGTTGAAAATGTACCATGACAAAAATTTAGTACTATGAAAAGAACCTTACATTTGTGATATATCTATGTAATCTCAATTCCTTTAATATTGCTCTGGAAATTTACTCCAAGAGAGAGAAAAATCTAGAAAAAAATATCCTTTATAACAGGGGTGGGCAAAGCCTCTCAGCAAGCCAGATCCAGCCTGCCTAGAACTTTGATCTGGCCCAAGAGGAAGTTTCAGGCCCTGCACCCTAGCTCATTGCCTCAGAGTGAGAGAGGGAAGTGAGCCTGTCTAACTGCTTCTATTTAAAGGGCTCATGTCTTTCCCACGCCTTGCCTAGCAGCTGCGGGGAAACCACAAGCCCTTTAAACAGAACCAGTTCAAAGGGCTGGTGTCCCTGGCTTCCTAGCAATGCACTAGAGGCACAGGGAGCTGTGAGCCCTTTCAGCTGTTTCTATTTAAAGGGATCTTCTGTTCCTCACAGCTACTAGGCAGTGCATTGCCTGACAGGCACGGGGAAGGGTCCAGCCCTTAAAGAGAAACAGCTGAAAGGACTTGCAGCTCTCTGTGCTTCTAGCACAGGGCTAGGGAGCCAGAGACTTCAGCCCTTTCAACTGTTTGTGTAACAGGGGAGCCCTTTAAATAGAAACAGCTGAAAGGGATCTCAGTCACTGGGCAGCACCCTAGAGGAGTGGGGAGCCCTGAGAGTTGTTTCTATTTAAAGGGCTGGCACCTTCCCTGTGCCTGTCAGGCAATGTGTTGCCTAGCAGCTGCGGAGAACAGGAGAGCCCTTTAAATAGAAACAACTGAGAGGGCTCGCAGTTCCCAGTGCCTCTAGCACATTGCCTGAGACGCAAGCTCTTTCTATTTAAAGGGCTTTCCTGTTCCCCAGGTCTGCTAGGCAAGCATTGCCTGACAGGCACAGAGAACGCACCAGCCCTTTAAATAGAAGCACTGTCGTTAACGGACTTGAGTCTCTGATTCCCTAGCAATGCATTAGAGGCTGGGGGAAGCTGCAAGCCATTCTGTGCCTGTCAGGCAATGCTTGCCTGGCAGCTGTGGGTAACACAAGAGCCCTTTAAATAGAAATAGCTGAAAGGGCTTGCAGCTCACCATGCCTCTTGCATTGCTAGAGACCCAGGATCCCTTTCTACTGCTTCTATTTAAAGGGCTCTCTCGTTCCACGCAGCTGCTAGGCAACACATTGCCTGACAGATGCAGGGAAGGCACCAGCCCTTTAAATAATTATTATTAAAATTTAATTTCTTTGTTGTGTAAAAAACATTGGCATCATTTTACAGCACATCATTTTACCTACCCCTTTTGCCCGAGGCCCCGCCCCTTCTGGGTCAGCTCGCAGACACTTCTGAAATTTGTGAAGTGGCACCCCTTGAAAAATTATTACCCACCCCTGCTTTACAACATTAAAATTCCAGAATTAATTGCACATAATAAGTACCAGTGATATTGATCATCAGTTTATTATTATACATTGTAATGTGGATAATATGTTACTATCATTCTTACTTTAAAAGTACCTTTTTTGCTTCAAAAATCCAGTGGCTTTTTCCATCTTCATCAATCTGGTTCCACCAACGTAGGCCAACTAAGAGTCTTCCAGTTACATTCTAGTGACAGAGTTAGTCGGTTATTTCCACATATCAATGAAATAATTCATATTAGTAGAAATCTTGAGCTCTATAATACTGTTCTAATATAAGACTTAATATAATAGGTTTTTTCAGTGAGAGTCCATTACAAGAGGAGTTATTTGGCTAGTTAAATTCAATGGGGCACATTTAGGCTACATCTGGACTGCAGAGTTCTTGTGCAAGAAGCTTTTTGCAGAAGAGCTCTTCAGAAAAGGGATGCGTTTTTGCACCAGAGAGCATCCAGACTGCATGGACGCTCTCTGGCAAGGAAGCCCTGATTGCCATTAACAGAATGAACACTTGTGCTTCTTTTGATAGGCTATTTTTGCACACAAAAAAACTGTTTCCCTCCCCACACACCTTTTAGTGCAAGAGCTCTTGCACAAAAAGGAGTTATTCCTCATAGAAAGAGGAATACCTATACCGCAAAAACCCCTCTGTTCTGTTAATTCACTGTATATTTTCTGGTGCAAAAATGTGCTTGAGGTGTGAATGCTCCATGAGTTTTTGCACAAAAACTCTGCAGTGTAGACGTAGCCTGAGAGGGAAAATCAAAAAGAGAATAGAACAGGTGTGACGTAGTGTGGGTACCTTGCTGGGGCTGTGGGTGACCTCTGCTGTCTGTAGCATGACCCAGCAGGGCAGGGGGTGAGTCATTATGCAAAGGGGGCTCCAAACCTGTCTGACCAGCTACCCCCCAGGGAGAGAAACAACGGAAAGTGGAATGCCGCCCCTGGCTGGGAGGCAGGGCTGGAAGAGAGTGAGTGAGTTTCAGTCTGGGAAGCAGGGGAGAAGGAGCTGGGGAAGGGGCTGTGATTGTAGGGCCCAGCCACCCCCCATATCAAGGGGGGGCTGAGGCATCCTAGCCCCAGTCCCTGTAACCAGATTACATCTGTGCTGTGCTGTGCCCTGGAGAGGCAATAAACTCCCTCTATTCTAATGGCTGGTGGAGTCTGTCCGTGCCACTACGAGGGTGCAGGAGACGGGAAAACCCCAACGCGCCGTCACAACAGGCAGAAAAGAACACTCATTATAAACAAGCAAGTAACTGAGATTCAAGATTCACAAACAAAAAAGTTAGACATTAATCTTTTCATTTGGATGAATACTGTAACAATTTTTTCAATATGCACCTATAAACTAACACACAATCCCTGTTCCATTTCTCTCGCTTTTCCCTTCTTTCTAAGACTCTTTGAATGTAAGGTTAACACACATTCAGCTGCTCATTTTAATCCAGAGGCCCTCCCCAACATCAAATATGATCTATACACTTTTGAAGTAAAATGGAAAGGTCTATGAAGGGGCATCCACAGACTTTATAGCTCAGGCTTATTTTTTCTCCCAGATGAAAAAAAAATCCTACATTTAACATCGAGCTCCATTTGTGACCAGCTCTGTTGACCAAAAATTTAAATAGAAAGCTTTGGACTACTTTAAATAAATTTAAGACATCCTAGCCAGGCAGAACAAGATTAAAAGTTTATTTTCTTCACTTTGTCTTAATTTTAAATTTTCTTTTCAAATAACTAGCTAGTGACAGATTTTTCTGTCAACATCACTAGACTTTTCTGCAAGATGGGGTTAAATCCAGAAGGCCTACCATATTAGTGGCAATATTGCTGTTTTGTAATGTTCAAGCTGCTGAATCAAGACTTCACTGGTCCTTGTTACCTATGCAGAGCCCCACTAGTTTCTGTGTGAGTTCCATGCAGGCACAGGAGTCTACTCACTAATTTGATTGTAAAATGAGTGCCTTGGTGCTTCTCTCTTGTATTCTTTGCAATTTCTCTATTATTAAGTTGTTTAGAACTGCAATATGCTGTGGAATTATAATCTGAAGTTATTACAGACTATATCACTTTACACTTTCAGAGTACGTAGACTACAGGCTTTTAAAAAGATGTATAAATGAAAATTCATGTTAGTGATTTTCCCCCTTCTACATCAACAGCTTTTCAATCTCAAAACCTGGTATTATAGCCAACATCCCTTTTGGAGCTAATCACTCTGTCAGTTGAGTGTAAAGATCAACATTAAGGCACAGAAAGCTATACTACCTGATTTCAGAGATAAAGCATAAATATACTACCATAAGTGAGGTAATTTCCTTAATATTTGTACTAAATTGTGTAAATGCAGCTTCCATCTTGTTAAAACAAAGCTGTTCAGTGGGTTTAATAAAGAAGGAGCAGTAGATTGATATCTAATGGTTCTTTTGCACTGTATTTGCCATTAAGAAAAATCAAAATCAAGAAATAGAGTATTTTATACTTCATTACTCGTTCAGGATGTTCTTACCTTAACAGACCAAAAGTCGAAGGACAGAAGGAGAAGAATAGTGACAAAACAGGCAACAAAGCTTTTGCTGAACCAGTCACAGAGCAAGTAGGTAACAATAGCACTCACTCGGAAAAACAAGTGAAAAAAGGTGGCCAACGGATGCCTAGAAAAACAATCCAAAACACTTACTAATTTAAGAGACAAAACATATTACAAAATTTACACTTTGTGGGTGCTCCACCTTAGGTGTTCGAGTGCCACTATACCTCAAGTCAGAGAATTATGATAGCAGTGTCCTTGGTAGGCTGCACACATGGAACAGCCAGCACACAGCGTTTGAAGTGGTTACCCCACATGCACAGCAACCATCCCTTCAGTTCCTTCTCTGCCCCAGAAATTAAATGTTCCAAAGCAGAGGGGAGAAAGGGTGGGTGGTGGAGCACTCAAAGGGATAACCAACTCAAAGAACTTCAGTTACTGCACAAGGTAAGTAACCTTTTCTTCTCTGAGGCGTGTTCCTGTGGGTGTTCAACCTTAGGTGACTATAAAACAGTACTTCGGTTCACAGAAAGGAGCTTCAGTTTCTCAGTCTGTACCATAGACAGTGTGTCCCAAATGTGTGTCAGAGGCTGAATATTTCTCTAAAGTGTAATATTTGGTAAAAGGTGTGTGCGGAAGCTCAGGTGGTGGCTCTGCAAATGTCAGTTATAGGTATGTTTTTTAGGAAGGTTGTAGAGGCAGCCATTGCCCTCATGGAGTCAGCCCAGACTACTGTTGGGGATCTTGATTAAGGGTGTGATAAGAGAGCTGAATGGATTTGGAGATCCATTTGGATAATCTTTGATTAGAGATAATTAAAGGGTCTTGAGGATTTGCACAACGGCTTAGTTCTTTCTTTTTTTAAAAAAAGAAAAGCAATTGCCCTGTGGACATCCAAGTTGTGCAGAGCTCTTTCTGTTGTCTGCATGAGGTTTTGGAAAGAAAACAGGTACTCATTGGCTCATTACAGTGAAAGGAGATAGGTACCATAGGGAGAAACTTGAGATGTGGACAGAGAATGACTGGCAGCTCTTAATACATTTAAAAGGTAGATCCGCAGAGGGATTAGCTCCTAGGGTCGGGAGCTAACCCCACTGGGGCTCTGCAGTTTCACCCCCTTATCAACTAATCGACTAGTTGATGGAAATTCAATTGACTAGTCGATTAGCTGATTAAACACCTTTAAACATCCCATGTGTGCGTGCGTGCAAGTGCTAGATTGGTTTTTGTTTTTAAACCACCCAGCTGGTAGCCTTTTTTGAGATTTTAAAAAATTTTAAGTAAGAAGTATTATTTTTAGTATTTTATAGGAATACCTATAATTATTTTTACATTTTTATTTTATTGATTTTTATTGTTTTATAGAATACTAAGACTGGAAGGGACCTCGAGAGGTCATCGAGTCCAGTCCCCTACCCTCATGGCAGGACCAAATACTGTCTAGACCATCCCTGATAGACATTTATCTAACCTACTCTTAAATATCTCCACAGATGGAGATTCCACAACCTCCCTGCGCAATTTATTCCAGTGTCTGACTACCCTGACAGTTAGGAACTTTTTCCTAAACCTCCCTTGCTGCAGTTTAAGCCCATTGCTTCTTGTTCTATCCCCAGAGGCCAAGATGAACATACCTCCTCCTTATGATACCCTTTTAGAGATCTGAAAACTGCTATCCTGTCCCCTCTCAATCTTCTCTTTTCTAAACTAAACAAACCCTAATTCCTTCAGCCTTCCCTCATAGGTCATGTTTTCTAGACTGTTAATCATTCTCGTTGCTCTTCTCTGGACCCTCTCGAATTTCTCCACATCTTTCTTGAAATGTGGTGCCCAGAACTGAACACAATACTCCAATTGGAGCCTAACCAGCGCAGCGTAGAGTGGAAGAATGACTTCTCGTGTCTTACTCACAACACACCTGTTAATGCATCCCAGAATCATGTTTGCTTTCTTTGCAACAGCATCACACTGCTGACTCGTATTCAACTTGTGGTCCACTATAGCCCCTAGATTCCTTTCTGCCGTACTCCTTCCCAGACAGTCGCTTCCCATTCTGTATGTATGAAACTGATTGTTCCTTCCTAAGTGGAGCACTTTGCTTTTGTCTTTATTAAACTTCATCCTATTTACCTCAGACCATTTCTCCAATTTGTCCAGGTCATTTTGAATTATGACCCTATCCTCCAGATTAGTCGCAACCCCTCCCAGCTTGGTATCATCTGCAAACTTAATAAGCGTACTTTCTATACCAATATCTAAATTGTTGATGAAGATACTGAAGCGAGCCGGTCCCAAAACAGACCCCTGCGGAATCCCACTTGTTATGCCTTTCCAGCAGGATTGTGAACTACTCTCTGAGTACAGTTATCCAGCCAGTTATGCACCCACCTTATAGTAGCCCCATCTAAGTTGTATTTACCTAGTTTATTGATAAGACTATCATGCGAGACCGTATCAAACGCCTTACTAAAGTCTAGGTATACCACATCCACCGCTTCTCCCTTATCCACAAGACTCGTTATCCTATTAAAGAAAGCTATCAGATTGGTTTGACATGATTTGTTCTTTACAAATCCATGTTGACTGTTCCCTATCACCTTGCCACTTTCCAAGTGTTTACAGATGATTTCCTTAATTACTTGCTACTTAATTACTTGTTTTAGTTGCTTTATTATTGACAGAGGGATTTAGGGTGTTTAATTTGGGTCTCTCTCTTTATTTTCACTCATTTTATGTTTAATATTAATCACTCGGGGGAAAAAAAAGTTAAACTGTGAAAGCATCAGGACACTTGAAGAGATAACTAACAAAGTTACGGCTGTTAGTAGACACTGCCAGCTAAAGAGTAGCTGTCAGTTTTGCAACCTTGTATAAAATATTTGAATGTATGTTTAAAAAGTTGATTTATTTTATATATATAATTTTTAAAAGTGTTTTTTTTAAAATGTGAGGTCCCTGGATATGTTTATTATGAGAGACTAAACATTTTAAACTTTCTTGGCTTACCTTTTACTAGCTGAAATTTTGAACTTTTGTTTTGAAAATGATTTTAGACTTTCAAAGAGCTTTGGGGAAGAGGGTATAAATTGCAAGTTAGGAACAAATGACTCATTTAAGTTGCTTACATTTCTAAACTGCTATTCGTTTCTATATTTAAGCTTTGACCAAGGTTGGGGTTTTTTCCATCTGAGATCTTTTGGCCTGGGCTTTGATTACTTCCATATTTTAGCAATGTTTAGTTCCATCTTTTCCTTACATGTTTCTGCTGTCTGATCTTAACTAAATTTTATATAGTTAAACAATTTAAATGGGATTGTTCTTGTACCTGCTGCAGTCATCACAATTCATTATTTACAGGCTCATTTGTTAGGAAGCATCCATTTCCTTTAGAATGGCTGTAAGGCCTTCTGTGTTGTGTGTGGTGACAAATCACATAGTGCAGGGGTAGTCAATAAGCAGATTGCGGGACAAAGACAATACATTAGCACATAGGGTCAGCCATAATAATAAAGATGTGTGGGTGAAAGTGCTGATTTAACAGCTCTTTTTATTCTTTATGACTGGGAAAAGGCAGTTTAGTACTCTTTCTTCCATAGCATACATATATATTTATATATAGGAGCAAATGACCTTAATATTAGTGTGCAAGACAAAACTCACTCCACTCATGATGGGTGGAAAATCTTAGAGCAGGGGTCAGCAAACTTTCCGAAGTGGCGTCCCAAGATTTAACCCTCTAGCCCTGGACCATGACGCTCTCACGGAAAGGCATGAGGTGCTCTCCCACTGCAAGCGCCATGGACCATCTGGGTCAACGCAAACCTTTCCACGGACTACCAGTTGCTAATGGAAACTCACTGTCAATTACATAATTACACCTAAGCCATTTTGCTAGTGCTGCAGCTGGAGAGAAGTTTAATTTAAATTATTAAACAGATTAAGCATTTTCTACACTTTTGCTAGTCTCTAAGGGTATGTCTACACTTCAAAGTTAATTCGAAATAACAGCTGTTATTTCTAATTAACTTTAATAGTGTCTATACATGCTATTTCAAAATTAATTTGAAATAATGGAGCGCTTAATTTGAATTTGGTAAACCTCATTCTATGAGGCGTAATGCCAAATTCAAAATAGCTATTTCGAATTAAGTGCTGTGTAGATACTTAATTTGAAATAGGGGTCCTTCAGCCCTTCCCAGGGAGTCCTGCTGGCCACTCTGAGAACAACCAGGAAAGCTTACTCTCCTCTCCCCCAACCCCGGAGCCATTAAAGGGGTAAACCCTGGCCACAGTGCCTGTGCCAGCTCCAAGCCTGCCATCCCAGAGCCTGCGATGTCCAGGAGAAGGTGGGTGCCTTCCTGGTCCAGGGTAGAGATCATGGACCTTATTCAGGTTTGGGGGGGGATGCTCCCAACATCCATGATCTCCACACTAGATGGAGGAACGCGGCCGCTTATGGCAGGATAGCTGCCAGCCTGGCAGGAGCAGTCTACCAGCTCCCAGGAGCCTGACAGGGGCTGGAGAAGGCAGGCGCCTTCCTGGTCCAGGGTGGAGATCATGGACCTTATTCAGGTTTGGAGGGTATGCCCCCAACGTCCATGATCTCTGCACTCGATGGAGAAACATGGCCGTCTATGGATAGCTGCCAGCCTAGCCACCAAAGGCCACATGCGAACCCAGGAGCAGGTTTGCATAAAAATCAAGTTAGTCCGACAAGACCCCCAACCCTGGGCCCTGAGCTTCCCCTCCCTCTTCTTCCCCTTGCTCCCCTCTTCCTGCTCCCTCCTCCCAGGTTTCCCCCTCCCCTCTCCCACCTCCTTTTCCCAGTCTCCCCAGAGGCTCATCCCCCCCAGTTTTGTTCAATAAACCCAGCTTCTGTTTTTGAACATGTGTGTCTTTTGTTTGACATCAGGAAGGGGGGCTAGGGAGGGGTAAGTGGAAGGACGTGAGGGAGGAATGGGGCATGAGCCCCTGGTGGGGAGGACCGGGGTGGCTCTGAGGGCTCTGAGGGGTGGACGCTCTCCTACAGGGCCTCTTGAATCCTGACAGCCCCCTGATGGATCCCCGGATGGCAGCCTGCAGCAAGTGCAGCCGGGCTAATGGCAACGACTCCACAAGGTGCAC